CAATCCATACAATTTATCACCCTGGGGAAGATTTTTAAAAAAACATGATAAAGAGTTAGAAGGCAAAATGGGGTTAGATATGTCGAAAAATAACGAAGGATTAAAGTCGCAGACTAATAAACAAAACATAATCCTTTAGGAGAATGAGATGTCTGTCTCAGATAGAAAATTTATGGCACCACAAATCACAAAGGGTACGAACAGGTTATGTGGTTAAAGTATATCCCCCACATCTAATTTAAAAAAGAACCAAAATCAAAACAATATTGTTTATTTTTGTACTTGTCTGAAAGACGCATTACTTATTATACATGTTATTTATAATAGATTTACCGGCGAGATGAAAAGATTTCAACTCTTATATGTCGTTTATAATATATAAACTACAGCTACAAGAAAGAGGCCCGTGATGGGAGACAGATTTGACAAAATATTTTTGTCACATAAATTGTCAACAGATTTGCGCAAATCCTGTTTAGACAACTGTCTGAGAATATTTTGTCCATTGCGTTCAAGTAGGTGCATTGATATTATACAAACTGATATGCTAACGATTCATGATTACATCTTCACTCCATTAAAATCTCCAGTTAAACATTTAATTTCCTGTAACATAGACCAGTGCCTTCAGAGCTTTACACAAACATTATTTTTGGGGTTGGAAATAATGTACTTGCCTATTTTAACTTGACTTTTGACTTTACATTCCCCGCCCTCATCGCTGTGTCACATCACGTCTATACAAGTAATACAAGGCCTACATTCTCTATGGGCTTTCGACATGACCTCAGTTGCAAAGGCACTTACAATGTATTTTAAGAATAGGGGGTTCAAGTAGACGTTTACCTCGTTGTATAACCTGCGTATAAACGGAGAGCAAGTTTTACAAACAGTTAAAAATTGCAAGGAGTATATAATAAGTTCACTAGCTTGTAACGTGGACACCAGAAGAACAGCCAGCTAGATCGCAGGCGCTGTGATTTGTGAGCGGGGTCGATCTTCGATTTTTTTTCTCACTTTCTAGTCATTTATATGCGCATCCTGGGCCTGTCTTTGAAGGGATCATGGCCTCTGTGACGGACACACGCATGTTTGGGAGATCTGGCCTGTGAGTGTTTGGCTTCTGGCGCTGTCTCTTGTATTCAAGTGCTTGCCTTTTCTAGTCCCAGCATGTGGAACGTAAGCTGGAAATAATTGTGCGTGCCAAAGTTGTAATGTTCCAGGCAGTCGTGTGTGGTGGGAATATTAAGCGCTTACGGAATATCATAATTTACGAATAATTGTTGTATTTGTGTTTGGCGATGGATTTCCCTATGATTTTTTTTCTTTCGTTTATACGACGTGTTTTGTTGGGTATGTCGTGTGGCTGTCAGTCTGTGGTGGTATGTATAGTACAGTATGTAGACGTCTGCGCTTTAATAAGTGTGTATGTGAGTATGTGTGTGTGTGTGTGTGTGTGTGTGTGTGTGTGTGTGTGTGTGTGTGTGTGAGAGTGTGTTTGTATGTTTGAGTGTGGAAGTGAATGAGATGAGTGCGTGTGAGCAAGAGGTTTTATACTGTTTACTCAAAATTGTAATTCGTTTGTTTTTTGTTTTTAAAAAATCTCAGTTTACATCTTGTAGACAAATTCAGATTCACTTCGAGGAAAGAAAGAAAGACCTCCTTGTAAGGCAGGCTACCTGCAACCATTCAAAAATGTACTGACAGAAGCATTATATTATAATGTGCTTGCATTTCTTAAAGATGAATTTATTGACGACAAAACTGTCAGCATCGCATTCTAAAAGGCATAAAAGTGGAAACGTTTACGTGTAGTTTTCTAGTGAGTTTGAAACGTGCAGATATAATAATCAAATGCAGAATATTAGTATAAGCTTACTAGTGAATAAAGGCTCCCCCAACTACTCACATCTGCGTGTATACTTTGTCTCCATCGTTTCATGTACCTTTCCGTGGGTTCTTAGTACAAAACAGAGACAGGGTGGACGGAGAAAATGAAAAACAGAAATTAATTAGTAGCAGCTCTGGCGCAATGTGTCAACAGGATATAATGCGATATTCATTAACGGCACAGGGAACGTCCAATATTGATCATTTATCTTTCCTTTGTGCTCTATCTGCGTCAACCTCCGATCTTTGTACCTCGACCGCCCCTC